AGTAGTAGACCTGCATTGAGTTACCCTGACAAGTAAGTGACATATATCCACGCAGAGACCGACACAATGTCTGGCATGTAGCACCTGTCCAACAATTGATAGGTAACATTCCTATTATTTTTATGAGTATAGGGTAAAGATTGATTGAATATTTATAGTGCCAGAATAAAGTGATATAAAAAAAGTGATTGGTTCCCATAAATCATTGCTTGAGGAAGAAATACTGAGCGTGTGGGGGAAACCGAACAATTTCTTGTTGTCATCCTGCTGTTCTGAATTAACAGTAGACAGTTGGAAGTTGAGTCACGTCCAAAAATATCTGCTCCTGCAATTAGGGGAAGGTGCCACTAGGTGGCAGTGGCTTCTCAACCATGGTTCTGTGATTTTGGTCACCAAACAGGATTACAGGAGAGATTTTTTTTTTTTTTAGTTTATTAATTTATTTTTAGAAAAAGAGAGGGTGAAAGAGGGGGAGGAAGAGGAAGAGAGAGAGAAGGGGAGAGAGAGACTCTCAAGCAGGCTCCCCACTACCAGCCTGGAGCCCATCGTGTGGCTCGAACCCACGAACTGTGAGATCCTGAGCCAAAATCTGAACCAAAATCGAGAGTCAGTCACCCAACCAACTGAGCCACTTGGGCGTCTCAAGGAGAGATCATTTGAACATCTTCTTACTTGTATCCATTTTGAAGTAGACCTCCTGATCACCAGCACTTAGCAAAACAGTGTAATTGATAGGACACTGAAGTCAGATACACTCAGGTTTGAAATCATTTGATCACTTCCTGGATCGACTTGTGTACCCAGTACCCAGAGCAAGAAGCAGAGTGTCACCAGCAGCCCAGGTGCCTTCATCAAGATATTACACCCCTCAAGGTAAACACCGTTCTGACTTCTCTCATCATACATTTGTTCTGCCTATTTTGAACTTATTATAAATGGAATCCTGTAGTGTATATACTCGTTTGTGTTCTTGTTCAAAACTGTTGTCTGCGGTGGACTGTTGTCTCTCTCAATATTGATCTATAAGTGTTCTTTATATATGCTGGGTGAAAACCCTCTTCTCCCACTCATTGGCTTGACTGTCACTTTTTAACAATGTCTTTTGATAAATAGAAATTCTTAATTTAATGAAATTCGGTTAATTCTTCTTTTTCTTTATGTTTGTGTTTTTGTGGCCAGGGGGAATGGGGTGTGTTTTTAAGGAAAGATTAGCCTACCACAAAGCCTTGTAGACCTCGTGATCTTCAATGTTACTGTCTAGAAGCCTTTCCATTTTACCTATTACATTTGGGTCTATGATCCCTGTGGAATTGATTTTTGTTTACGGTTAAGAATTCTGATATTTTTATTTTTATGGATATGGTATTGATTGACCCAGCACCATTTATTGAAAAAAAATCATCCTTTCCTCAATATGCTCCAAGATGGTCTTTGTCATAATTCATGTGAACATATATATATATTTCTGGACTCTCAATTCAGTTCCATTAGTTGTTGTTGTCGTTGTTTTGTCTAGCTTTGTGCCAGTACAACACAGTCTTTTTTTTTTTTAATGTCTTTATTTTATTTTTGAGAGAGAGACAGAACGCTAGCAGGGGAGGGGCACAGAGAGAGGGAGACACAGAATCAGAAACAGGTTCCAGGCTCCGAGCTGTCAGCAGAGAGCCTGACGCGGGGCTCAAACTCACTGAGTGTGAGATCATGACCTGAGCCGAAGTCGGACGCTTAACTGACTGAGCCACCCAGGCGCCCCCAACACAGTCTTAATCACTGGAGCTTTATAAGTTACCCTATATGCAAATGGAAGTCACTTAAACTTGTTCTTTGTCTTTAAGTGTGTTTTCGAATATTGGTGACCCTTTTACAGGTTTACGTCAATTTTAGAATCAGCTCATCAACTTCTATATGAAGGTCTGCAAGAAGTTGACTAAGACTTGGTGTGAACAGACATCCTTATAATATCGAGTCTTCACATCAGTGGACACGGCGTATGCCTTTAGTTAGTTAGGTCTTTCCGAAATTCCTCTCGGTAACATTTTATTGTTTCTGTATAAAGGTCTTTCACTTCTTATCTGCAGATTATGTGGATGTTACATCATGTGTGCATAATGATAATTATTTCCAAATGTTCCTCAATACTTTGAACTTTTATTTATTTATTCTTGCTTTATTTACTTGCATTAATGAGGATCTCCAAAATAACGTTGAATAGAAGTGGTGATAGTGGCATCACCCCACTCTCAAACGTAGGCACGTGCATTTCCATATTTCACCACTAATTGTGTTTACTGCAGGGGCTCCTGGGTGGCTCAGTCTGTGGAGGCTCAGGTCACGATCTCAAGGTTGGTGAGTTGGAGCCCTGCATTGTGTCCTTTGTACCCCCACCCTCTCTGTACCTCCCCGGCTTGAGCTCACACTCTCTCTCTCTCAAAAATAAATAAACATTGGGGCGCCTGGGTGGCTTAGTCGGTTAAGCGTCCGACTTTCGCTTAGGTCATGATCTCGCGGTTCATGGGTTTGAGCCCCGCGTCGGGCTCTGTGCTGATTGCCAGCTCGGAGCCTGGAGCCTATTTCGAAGTCTGTGTCTCCCTCTCTCTCTGACCTTCCCCTGCTCACGCTGTCTCTCTCTCTCCAAGAAATAAATACAAATTAAATAAATAAATAAATAAACATTAAAAAATTATGTTTACTGTATATTTATTTTGTAGCTTCCTCTTATCATGTTTAAGAAGTTCCCTTTTATTCCCAATTTGCTAAAGATTTTTTTCCATTGTGAATGTGTGATTAGTTTCTCAAATGTGTTTTTTTCATTTATTTGAGAAAAATGGTTTCCTCTGTATATACATTAATCTGATGACTAAGTTTTAAATGTTAAACCAAGTTGCATTTGTGAAATAAATTTGTTAATTTTCTAATATATTACTGGATTAGATTTCCTAATATTTTGTTTTTGATTTTCGTTCATGAGTGGGATTGGACTAGACTTTTCTTTTTGTATATATTTTTTTAAGGTTTTGGAATCAAAGATTTGTTGGTTAGAGAATAAAAGAGATGGAAAGTGTTCTTGCTCTTTCTTATTCTCTGGAAAAGTTTGTGTAAAGTAGAAGTTCTTTTAAAAATATCTGAAAGAATTTATTGTTGAAGCTGCGCCTGGAGCTTTCTTTGTGGGAGGGTTTTAAATTAAGGATTCAACTTCTTTCATCAATACAGGAATATTCTAATTTTCTATTTCTTCTTAGTGTCAGTTTTGATAAGTTGTGTTTCTTCAAAGAATCTAAAGCCTTTCATTGATATCCATGTTTTCCACCAGTATCATCCTCTGTATCATCAAGGCCAATTGGTGATGTAACAGTTGAAAAAAAAGACATATACCACAACTATCTTTATGATTTTCTTCCAAGTTGTTATCCAGCCTCTGCTGAATCTGCAAGTTTTTATGTTGCCCTTTTTCGATTTGAATTTACTCATGACTTCCTGTTTTCTTTAACTGAATCATATCACTAAAGTCAATCATCAGGTGCTAGTCAAAGTCTGCAGGAAGTTTCCAATGTTCAGCACTTCAACTGTAGTCCTGTGGATTTATTGGCCGGTCATGCAGTCTTACCATGCTCGGAAGATTTGGCAACTTTTTACTATCTCCAATTATGCTACTTGGGCGTATATTACAAATAATGTACAGACTCAGTTGAAGCAAAGATGGTATGAATAGTTGTAACCAAATTTGGACATGTACTTCAAAACTATGGCATGTCTGAAAATGATTTCATGAGGTCATCAATCCCAAGTTCAGAGATGTTTAAAAGTTTATATATATAACAGAAGAAATATAATAGTTTTTTAAAACATACTTGTGCTTATCAGTCTTTTTTTTTCACTTAGCAAATCTTTATTTTCTCTTTTATTTAAGGAAGTTTTTATCCATTAGAAGAATGGAAAATATATGCTTGTATTTTCTATTTGTTTGATCGAACTTATTCTAAGTCATTTTGTATAATGTAATGTAAATTTGTAATTTGTTTTAAAGAATAATTTGAGGTCAAGACCTAATTTTATGTTTTCCCGAGTAGTTGTAATAGTCTATCACAAAACACTGAACTATGGATGTCACTGCTACATGTGTTTAAGATATGTGTCTCCTTAAATTTGTTTTCCATTTGTTACTTTAACAGGGATCTAGTTGGGCAAGGTGTATGGAAAAGGAAAGAGCTGTTCATTTAAATTTCCATATTGCCAGGAAGTTTCTGAATGGTCATTTCTTGGGAGTGAGAGTTCCCATCAGGATCTTACTCACCCTGTATGCCCCCCAGAGCATAGAATTGAGCCTAACTCATGATGCCATTGAAACTTTCTGTCCTGTTCCATATGGTTCATTGGAAACTCTTGTGTGGCAGAAGAGCAGGAATTGTTGTCATCCACAACCACACAAGTTAGAAGCGAGGCCATGACCGGAACCAAGCTTCCTGACCATGTGTCTCGTGTGATCTACCATGAGTCCATCCCTGGTGGCCACCTCACCATCTGGGTTGGCCATTTCTTGTTCCTTTCTTCTCACACACCTGTGCAATAAAGACCCTGCTCTGTGGACAATTAATTCAATGAACTTTTAGTAGGCAACTGCGGGCATCCAAAGAGGAGATATTTGCGTAGTCGGGCAGAGTTCAGTGACATTCCAGAAGGCCATGTTCCCTGTGCCATCCTTCATAACACGTTTGGGGTGCAGTCAGTGAATCAGGCCCTGTGTCCAGCACTGGAGACACAGAGATGGATTACACACGCAGTTCCCCTAGTCCAGGATGAGGTTTTCACTTATCAGATCACTTCCCTCATTTTCTGTGAATTGACCCAATTTCCCATCAGTCATGCTCTGGAAGGAACTGTCAAAAATAGTGCAGATGCTTTTGCTTTCCAAGTGACTATGGTCTCAACCAGTGATGCTGTTTGTGCCCATTGTGATTTCATTGGCCATGGGGCCACCTGCTGAGTGGGGCAGATGACCAATAACCTGGTGCTGAGTTCCACGGCTGGCTTCTCTGAGCCATTTGAGCATTCGCTTCCTTTAAGGCTAATGACTTGGGAAATGGATGGAGCGGAAGAGCTGAGGTCATGTCTGAGGTAAGACACACTGGTTTAGACCAGTGGCTGAGGCTGGGGAGAGCCAGATGCTGGTTGATTTAGGCTACTGACTTGAATTAACCCTGTGGTACGTGGTATGACTCTGGATTAGACCACTCAGGATCCACCCAGGGCAGCAAGGAAGGGGTCAGCTTTCCCCAAAGTACAAAGGCTTAGTAGAGGTGCCAGGAGCATAGCTAAAATTGGGTACTGTTAGGAAAGAGCAGAGGTGAGTGGATACTGAGTAGCTAATCATCAAAAGCCGCAGCAATGCCATGCACCAAATTGATTAGAGTCCAGTGGGGAGATAAAATAAATGACCTTTAACTGTTGCTGGAGGAACACTCCAGAAATTAGTAGACCACTTAAAAAAATTTTTTTTAGATGTTTATTTAATTTCGAGAGAGAGAAAGACAGATTGTGAGCAGGGGAAGGGCAGAGGCTGGGAGACACAGAATCCAAATCAGGCTCCAAGCTCCAAGCTGTCAGCACAGAGCTTGACACGGAGCTCGGACTCACGAACCGTGAGATCGTGACATGAGCCGAAGTCAGATGCTTAACCGACTGAGCCACCCAGGGGCCGCGACACTCCAGAAATTAGTATATAAACTCTCCAATCTTAAGTTCTGTTGCATTTCTGTTTCTGTTTTAAATTTACTTGAGTCCATCTTGATTATGTTACCATCTCACAAGTCTGGTACCCACATGCTCGTGTCCATATTCCACGTATAGACACACAGGTACACACACACATACACACCAGTCCTCTCCGTCTTGTTCATACCAAAGGGACACATTTGACTCTCGGCACTAGCAATCAGTTGTTCCGAATGATTTCAGGGAAGATCACAGACTGGGTCCGTGGCTTAATGTACTTGAGTTACTATGCTAGTTTGTGGGTTATGATGGCTTAAAACTAGACACGCTCTACCTACCCTCCCCCACCCTCCCTCTGACATAGTTGTGAAAATTTAGAAGGGGATTCAGATTTCCACCAAAGTTGGAAACCAGAAATATTATTTAATGGCTTCCTAGAAGCCAGAAGAAATGCCTACTTCACAGCACTCCGAGGAATCTCCTAGGAACTCTAAGGCCAAGTAGGGGAAAAGAGGTCTTGGGAATTCTTGGTCTTCTGTGGCCCCTGTCTCTCTCCAGCCTACTCCTGAGCTATAGTCCTAATATACTAATGGAGAAATGTGAGTTTGGCACAAAGTGGAGACAGAAAGCTCTGTTCTCCATTTGGTGTCTTTGACGAGGAAACGAGTCACTTCAGTCTAGAAGCTGACCAGGCAGCCCCTTCCTTAGGCTGAGTAAATTGCAGATCACAGGAGAGTTGGCCAGATATGGGCAGCGGCGTGGAGTTCTACATCAGACAGAGAGGTGGAGGGGGGCGCGGGGCTGAAGCAAAACCCCACGTACTTTTTATGAACAAGTATCAAGCCCGAGATCTCTCTCTGATCAAAGGGTTGAACAAGGAAGAGAGCGAACACGGGACTTCAGAGGCCGAGGAACGGGGCACTCTGGAAAAAATTTATTATGGGAAAGAACAGAAAACTTTTAGGAAACATCTAACTTGAGCTCAATAAACTTCAGGAAGCCAAGGATGAGATGAGAACATAATAGGCTTTCATGAAAAGGGAGATTCTTGTGATAAGGAAAGCTTTTAAGAAAACTAAAATTTAATTACTTTTTAAAAATGGTTGATAACAGATCTGGATGCAAAAACCAACAAAAAAAAGTGCATAGAATATTACATTCCTTTCCAATTTATGTGGTTCCCGGGGCTGAGCCCACATCCTGCACCCCTCCCACCTCTAACAGATGTGAAATTTGTGTTTTTTTTAATGTCTATTTCGGCTTTCTTAGTGAAAAAGAAAATTATAAATTAAGTTCTTTCTTTACTGTTTTGGTTTTTCAAAGAGCCCTACCATCAATGAATGCCAAATGTGCTATTAAAACTGCTCCAAATGTTAACAGATCTGACTTCTTTTAAAATCGTTGGCCTGTGTGGCTAATTAAATGTGGAGCTTAAGCTTGGTGAAGTTACAGGTGTACAGAGGAGTTGGGTACACAGCTTTAGGAGGTTTAGAAGGAACCTAATAAACAGCATAAATGATTTTGCATTAAAAATGAAATCGCTGAATCAAAATCAGCAGTGGAAGTAGTAAAGAAGCAAGCTGGCGCTGCAGAAAATTTAACGAGCACTGCAGAGCAGTGCTTTCCAAACCGAGCACGCCCTAGCCACGTGGGAGCGTCCCGGAGGCTGGCGTAGGGGCTGAACAGGTTTGAGGGATCGGGGCCCAGTGCCCTGGAGGCTCCCGCCAACCAGAACAGCTAATTTTGATCCTCTGTTTCCTCTAAAATAATTCTTCATAATCTGGGCACCTGAGGATTTGTTTGAGATTGTTTTCCATGGGCAGAACTGTTTGGAAAGTGATGTCGAATCAAATTGAGGAAAGCTCTCAGACTCTGGAAAGAAGTACAAAGAAATACAGATGGCAGCAAAGAGGACACGGAGCCGGATGTGGGCGTGGGGCCGCAGGTGAGTAACGGGACACCCGAGGGGCACAGGTGTGGGAGAGCCCGGCCCCAGGAAGGGAGAGCATCGAAAAGGAACACGAGGAAGAAAACGTCTGCGGCGGAATAAGCACGGATCAGGGACAACTGAAAAAAGGAAAGACGAAGAAAGATCAGCACATCGTGTGTCGTGGTGTCTTTATGACTCCTGTAGTCATCGAGGTAGGGAGTAGGACACAAATACAAGTTTATTTTATGTATATTCAGGCTTGGAGACTTCTCCAAATTAGTGTTTTGAAAGAAAAATGTGTTGTCCTCCAATTTTTTTTTTAAATGTTTATTTTTGAGAGAGAGGAAGAGAACACAAGTAGGGGAGGGGCAGAGAGAGAGGGAGACCCAGAATCCGAAGCAGCTCCAGGCTCCGAGCTGTCAGCACAGAGCCCAACGCGGGGCTCGAACCCACGAACCATGAGATCTTGACTTGAGCTGAAGTCAGACGCTTAATGAACTGAGCCCCCCAGGCGCCTCTCCTCCGAATTTTGTATTAGCAAAAGTTTACACAGACACATGGCATCCACGAGACCTTATCTGTTCTTTGTTTTTGGGGGGCAGGCGAGGGAGGCTGGAAGATGCCATAAGGTGAAATGACTACACGGTCCTTTTGAGGAGTATTACTCCACAAGGCAGTTAAGTTGGCCAAGAAAGGAATCAAAACGACTAAAAATGGGGTTGTTCCAACACGGAAGAACTGGCTCAGAGAATTAAGCTAGTTAAGCGAGATCGTGTTTGTTTAACATACGCTTTGCAAACTCCATGCATGAAAACAGAACAACTACAAAATAAAAACTGTAATTTAATTATAACTTGTTTCTGAAAATCCCACATGTAATTTAACAAAAACAGGAAGAAGGTAGGCAAGAGTAACTAAGAACGAAACGTGAACTAGATGTGATGTCTCACACAGGAGTCAGACAAAGAGATTTTATTTTTGGTTTCGATCATTAGAGAAATATATTTTCCAGGACAATTTTATAAGACCTCAGGGTAATCACTAGTGTAAGTTTTAAAGCTGACCGATTTTCATTTTACCACAGAAGACAAAATAAATGGAACATGGTGTGAAACTATAAGAAAACACAAAAAAACAATTAAAATTCTCTCAAACCCCAAAAGCAGAAAACAAGATGAACATAAATAAAATCAAATGTATTATCCATGATGGCACACGTGACTACATTCAGATATTCAGGCAGAAAAATTTTTTTTTAATGCTTTTTTATTTATTCCTAGGAGAGAGAGAGAGAGAGAGAGACAGCGTGAATGGGGGAGGGTCAGAGAGAGAGGGAGTCACAGACTCTGAAACAGGCTCCAAGCTCTGAGCTGGCAGTCAGCACAGAGCCCGACGCAGGGCTTGAACCCACGAACCGTGAGATCATGACCTAAGCGAAAGTCGGACGCTTAACTGACTAAGCCACCCAGGCTCCCCAATTCAGGCAGAAGATTAATCTTAATCTGGGATGAAAAAAAATTAGCCAACAAAATCTTATATGTCATTTGTAAAAGACTATCTAAGAAAGAAAAGAAGAAAAATAAAGAAAACGGCAAGATTAAAACAAAAATCTTGAGCTAATAGGTGCAGGTAAATACAAAAGCAAAAATCTTGACTAAAAGACTCCTTTATTCATACTGTATAATTAAGAATTAAAAGGGGCTGCCTGGGTAGCTTAGTCGGTTAAGCATCTGACTTCAGCTCAGGTCATGATCTCAAGGTTCATGGGTTTGAGCCCCAAGTTGGGCTCTGTGCTGACAGCTCAGAGTCTGGAGCTGCTTCAAATCCTGTGTCTCCCTCTCTCTCTGCCCTTCCCACTCGTGTTTTCTCTCTCTCTCAAAATATAGATAAACATTTAAAAACTTTTAAAAGAGAATTATAAGTATAAAAGCATTAAAATTGATAGGGATCATTTTATCCCAACAGAAAGAAAAGGGCATCCTCTGGACATTAGGATCAAAATATACTGGTAATGAGCAACATACAATTCACATACACAGCAAGGTATTTTGTAGAAGTTATGCAAGAAGGAAATGTGGAAAGCCTAGAAGAAGAGAAAGACTTGAGCGCAGTTCTCCACACCTCTGAAAGGTCAAACAGCCCCAGCTAGGTGACAATATACAGAACCTGGATAGTAATGTTACTAAGTTTAATTAAATAGACCAAATTGGAATCTGCGCCTTACTCATCTCTGAGTGCCCTTTGGTGAGAGTGCATTCAACAACTATACAATGTAGTTCAATCACAAAGAAAGTCTTAATACATTGCAAAGGGGAGAAAGTATATAGTTCATTCTCCATGATCACAAACTTCAGTCATGGGAAATAACTGAAATCCACTACAAAAATACTGACCTTAAATTTGTGATTTCAAACAACCTAGGAAACGGTCAAAACAGGAGTCCCACATATCAGACAGAGAGGCACCATGAGAG